GGGGTGGCCTGTGAGCAGAGGCGTTGTGTCCCCATGAGGAAGGCTGCAAGGCAAGAGCTGAAAGTGTAAGGGTTTTAGTGGGGATAGACTTTGGGGGGTGGGGGAGCGCAGGGGGAGCAGAGATGGCAAGGACATAGTTGGGTTGGCCTCTCCTCGCTGGGTAAGAGGTCCACGAACATAGAGCCAGGAGATAGCTAGCGGGATGGTGAGGTGGCAGAGGCCAGGGTTGTCAGTCAGGAGGGCGTGGTGGCCTGGGGGACGGGAGCCACAGCTGGCGGAGGAAGTGGAGGGAAGATTTCTGTTTGAGCTTCTGGAAGTGGAAGCACGCACGCGCTGTGGCATCTTTGTGCGGAAGGTTGTACTCTGTTTCTTGAATGCCTGCTCATTTATCTCACTTCTGGAACGCAGAGCCATGGCATCATACCCAGTTCTGGGGTACCCCTCTCGGCACACTCGGAGTGAATGGTGCCACCTGTAGGCGGTCCGTGTAGAAACTGGGTATGGGGGCTGTAGTGGAATTTCATTAAGTGTTAGGCCTTTGAGTCAGTACCGTCTATGGATGGCTGGGAGTCCTCGGATGGGGCGAAGGGCTGGCAAGCTCCTCCGCTAACAGAAAGGCTAGGTGCTGGAGTCCGCTTATAGGGGTCTTGGGAGAAAGTTCTAATGATCTACTTCTGAACAATAACAATAGCCATCGAAGTCCTATGGAGTGCAGCGCTACTCTGACACCCGTGGGGTCCATATGAGCCGGGGTCCTGGGTATTTGACAGCGTGACCAGTACTGAGCTAAGTCCATACTTCAGTCTCACCCTTGTTCACAAAACACCCATCTACGGCAGGCACCGTCTCCCTCTGCTATCTAAATAAGGACAAGCAGCTTGTCTGAGAAGGGACAGAGTGACCCAAGGCCATGCAGCTGGTCGCAATCAATCTGTGACTGAAGCTACCAAGTGTGTGTATATGAGTCACTGGAGTCTTGTTTACAAACCAGAGGTGGTGGCCCTGATTTCTTTGGCTTCCTCTTCATCCTGGCTTGAAGTTGGTGGCAGCTCATCTGGGGAGCAAAGAGCAAGGAGCGGGGAGGAGCCCCAGGACTCCCTGCCGCCGCCTGGCATGACTCGGACTGGCAAAAGACCTTCTCCTTTCAGGACTGCCCTGATGGCTCCCTGACCTCAGGGCCTTTAGTCCTTAAAGAGCCAGTTCTGTGAGGACAGGGGCCTGCCAGCCTGGGAGAGGGAAGATAAGCAACCGCCACTGCTCGCAGTGAGCCTGCAGGGCACGGGACACAGGAGCTCGCGCCATGGGGCTTCGGAGGCTGCCTCAGCTTTCTCTGCAGATTGACTGCTGGGTCGGAACCACGGACCCAGTGCTGCCGAGGCTCCTAGACGGGAGGTAACACGTGTTGAGTCAAGTTTTTAAAATATTCGCTATTACGGTAAAACCTGTAAGTCTATCGCAAAATATCTGCCATTTTGACTATTTTTATGGGCGTAATTCAGTGACTGTAACTACACTCGACAGGTTGTGCAACTTTCAGCAACATACATTTCCAAATATTTTTCATCACTCTGTTAGGTAGCTGGCTAGAGACGGGGACCAGGGGTGTCCCTCTCCATGCCGGGAGCCCTCCCCGTGCCCCCAGGAGGTTGGAAGCCAATAAAGACTAACTGGACATGCTCCAAATTCAGGTCCCATGTCCATGGGAGCAACAGGCAAGATGGCATGCTGCACTGGGGCAAGTCTGCCGCAAAAAGACCTGTTTTAAAATGCTACAAGAACACCACCAGAAGGAAATTTTCTGTAAAAGGACTGTTTCACAGGGAACCTCATGAGAAGTGACTTTTGAGGCATTAAATTGCTTTTTCTTTAGCTCATAAACTTTATAATTATTGTATTTCCCCCCCCCCCCCATGCTAAAAAGCCAAACTGTCCCTTTGGGAACGAAGGTGCCCCTGAGCCAGGGCCTGATGTCGTTCCAATCTCAAGTGAGAGCAGGTCAGCGAATAATGAGAAGCCAGTGGGACACACCAGGGACGGTCAGACAAAACCAACAGTCGTTTTCTTCTTCCTGGGAGAAGTACAGCCAGAGGGGCCCTTAGAAGGGCAAGTGGCGAGACTTCACCTCAAGGGCTGTGGACGTGTGTCCAGCAGGGCCGGTTCTGGAGAAGGAGTCCATGCTCCAGACGCGGAGAGGTTCGTGGAACCAGAGGCCCTGCAACCAAGGGGCTGGGCCTGGAAGTGGAGACAGTGGGCTCCCACAGGACCCCAGGCTGTGAGGCTGCCTGCCTCGGGATGGGCCCCCTTTTGCTAGGCGGCTGCCAACAGTGGCGCCCAGCACCTACAAGGACTTGAGCATCTTGTCACGAGCTTATTTGCAGAGCGTCTTCGGTAGAAAGCCTATCAGCACGTGTTTTTCATCGGGTGGCTTTGACTTTCCGTTGCCCAGTGACTGGGAATCAGCCTTCTAAGCGGCTTCTTAAGGGGCGTGTGAACCTCTCTCTCAGACAAGGCTGGAGATGAGAAAGGAAGAGAGAAGGGGGCGGCTAGGCAGGAAGTGCTTCCTCAGGAGGCCTGGCGGGTGGGGGTGGGGGCTATGCAGAGAGAGGAGGCTTTCTGTTTAGGCTGACCGGTTAGTCTTTGAAGTCACTAAGGCGGCCGCAGAGCCGTGGCGGGAGGGCTGGAGTCTCAGGCCCTTCTCAGTTGGGTCTGCTCACTAAGGGGGGTTGGGTGGGGGTGCGGCCCTGTAGTGCAAGTGGAAGCAAGAGGAGCTTGAGAGGGTGTAGTGGTTCTGCTGGGACTGCTACCTGCCAGGTTGTCGGTTTGAACCACCACTTAACAGTCTTGGAAACTCAAGTTTCCAGTCTTGGAAACTCACAGGGGCGGTGAGGTCACTCTGTGTCAACACACACTTGCTGGAGGAGAGTGGGGTTCGCTTTGTTTGCTTTGAGCATTACTGTCGAGCCAACTGCAAACTAGCAACCCTCTGCTGCTGAAAACACACAGAGACGTGTGTGTGTGTGTGTGTGTGTGTGTGTGATTTACTGGGGTTGACAGGCCCCTAATCTCAGGGAAGTTGTGGACTTAACCTGCCAGAGATTGACCAACTTGCACGTTGGTCCCCTCTCAGCGACCATCAGGGAGGCCATGGGATGCAATCAGAGGACCCCAGTGGGGAGCTAAGGAGAGACCTGGAGGGAGTGGGGAGCTGGGGCCAAGGGCTGCTGCAGGTGGTCTCAGCCCTCTCCCTAGAGCAGAAGGGTGGGCACGGGAGATGCGCCTGCAGGGGAGAAGCCAAGGTGATTCCAGGGCCCCCATCCCACTCCTTTGGTGGGGGAAATGGTTTAGCAGGTGCTCTGTAAACGATCATCAGATCATCATTTGACTCAGAATGCCCGAGGCAGGGAATGACCTCGTTAGGTCGCTAGATTTAGAAGACAAACGGGCTGTCTCTCGGTGCCCGCAAAGACCCACATGGGGGGTGGGAAGGAATCAGGCAGCCTTTGGACACCTATGGGAAGACCCAAACTGAGGTCCCGCAGACTAGGATCCCCCCGCCACACCCCAGACGCAAGTAAAACCAATACCTTAGGTGCATCACACAGGTGGGCCTAACCCAGCCAATGAAGTCAACCAATACCTTCAACCATGCCTCCCCACCCAGAGGTGTCAAATACCCAGCGGCGGTGGAGCCAGCTCTCTCTCTCTTGCTCTGGTCTTGTGGCAGGTTTGAGGGCAGCGTGCCCCCCACCCATCCACCCACTCACCTACACACATACGTCACCCAGGCTCTCAGCCTCTTGGCCTCTATGGATTCCCCAGTTTCCACGCTTGTGGGTGTTCTTTTCCCCATGGTGGTTTGTGCCAGTTGTGAACCCCCGCACGCACGTGGCTTGGCATGCTTTCCAGAAACGGTGCATCGTGCCCTTTTGAGACTGTAAAACCTGGGACTTTTCCTGTCTCTCATAAAAACTCACCTGGGTGACAAAACGCGCCTCGGCGTGAATTCCTTCAGCGAATTCCTTCAGCGAGCGAAGCCAAGAAGGTAAGGACGGAGGTAAGACCCGCTCCAGACACCTAACAAGCTCACCTGTGATGACTGTCCTGGCCCCACTCAACCTCAGCTCAGCCCCAAGGCCTTCCGCTCATCTGTCCAACCCTGCTCAAAGTCCCTGGGCGGGTCCCGATGGTTGCCACACTCAGTTGCCAGCCAAGAGGCGGCAGGTTCGATTCTACCCCGAGATGCCGTGAAAGACGGACATAGTGGTCACCTTCCAGCAGGCCTCCACTGAACACCCGTGGTGCACAGATCCACCCTGACTGGCGGGACGGGGCACCCCGAGTCTGAGTGGATTTGATGGCAACCAGTTCAGTCTTGTCTGCCGGGGGACTCCCGGCTTCCAATCGGGAGGTCAGCAGCCCAGTTTGAAACCAGCAGCCTCTCCTCAGGAGAAAGACGAGGCTTTCTACCCCTGTCCAGAGCTGCCATGGGGGAAACCCACAGGGGCAGTTCTCACCCCGTTCTGTAGGGCCACCCTTGACTTTGCTTTTGGTTTCGGCACAACTGTCCCGACTGTTGGCAACAACCACGCCTTTCCCAGGGCTTCCTGGGGCTGCCCATCGTGGGTGGAACCTACCAGACCCAGCTGTGCTGGGAAATGGATTTCTCTGGGCCGCCACCGCCAGCCTTAACTGGCACAGAGACACGGAGCCTTGGAAGCCAGTGCCAGGGGGCTGTTTATTGTGCCCTCAGGAGAGAAGGGGGTGTGTGGGGGGGGTGTATGTGTGTTTGCCCGGAGGAGTGGTGTCCAGGTGTGAGTGGGACAGGAGCCAGGGAGGGTTTAAAGCCGGCTCCAGTCCACCTCCCTGTTCTCGGCCTCCTCAGCCAGAGGGACTGGGGAAGTCACCTAATCTTAAGTAAAAATATCCTTGGAGAAGGAGAGGCAGACGGAGAAGCGGAGGGCCTTGGAGAGATGCCCGGTCCATCTGGGCACCAGGAGCAGTGGGGGAGGGGGGGGCGGGCAGAGGGAAAGGGAAACCCTGGAGGCTGGGAGGGTGGGCTTGTAGGTCCCCCTGCTGGTGTTAAGGTGATGCGCCCCTCCCCGGAGCCCCTTCCATCAGCAGAGACTGGAGGCCATCGCTGCTTGCTGGATGGTGGAGGGGGCAGGGAAGCCAGCCTCTGGGAGCCGCTCTACCCCCAGAGGTTTATCTTCAGCCACTACAGGGGAGAAGAAGCGGGTCTGTGGGTGGGAAGGGCTTGGAGGTGGGGCAGGAAAATCAGAGGGTGGATAGGGCTGTGGCGTAGGGGTGAGGTGGGGTGTTGCAAGCTCCCCTCCCAGCCCCCTCCTCCAGGTACCTTGTTCAGGCTCAAGCTAATAGATCCAGTGTTCTTGGGGTCGTTGTCGAGGAAGTAGGCTATTTTGGAGAGGGGGTGGGGGAGGAGGGGCTGAGAGCTGAGTCTGAAGACCCCTTCCTAACAGGGTGGGGCGCAGGAAACCCCTGTTCTTGCTCTTCCCCGGCCTGGCAGGGAATACACACTGGCAACTCTCATACGATGGCACCACGGATTAAGTGTCGGGCTGCTAATGGCAAGGCCGGTGGTTCAAACCCACCAGTGGATGGTCTGCGCCCATAAAGAGTTCAGCATCTCGGAAACCCTATGGAGCAGTTCTGCTCTGGCCTCAGGGACAGCCTGAGTCAGAATCAACTCGATGGCAGTGGGTTTTTGAGCTACCCGCGTCTACATCTTATCTGTAAATGAACTCCTTTGACTCTTTGGGTCGGTCCTGTGAGGACCAGCCAGCCAAACCAACTGCGAGGGGGCCGATGCTGGCTGGTAGAGACCCTGCAGGACAGGGTAGAACTGGCCCCATGGGTTTCTGAGGCTGCAACTCCTTCCGGGAGGAGAAAGCCTCATCTTTCTCTTACAGGGCGGCTGGTGGTTTCAAACTGCTGACCTTTGGGTCAGCAGCCCAACACTCTACCCGCTCCCCCACCGGGGCTCCTCCCTGTGAAGGCAGGACTGGCATTTCGTTATTCACGTTTTCTCGGACGGGGGAATGGAGGGAGGGAGGCAGACATCCAGGGACTTGCCCTCCTCACACAGCCAGGAACCGGTGGAGCCGGGATGGGAAGCCAGGTCCCCGGGGCCCCCGACTCACAGAACATGGCCCTCAGCTTCAGGGCACAGATGAGGAAGCCGTCGAAGGCCATGAGCTTGTTCTCATCGGCGTACCTGGCCACCAGCACCTGCATCACCTTGTTGCTGAGCTTCACGCCTGGGGGTGAGAGAGGGGTGGGCGCAGGAAGAAGCCCCCTCCACAGCACAGCTGGCGCCTCCTGTTCCCTGCCCCAAAGCCTGCTCTGGTCCCTGGCTACCTGCTTTCTCAAACACCAGGCGGATCTCGTAGGAGTTCAGGGTGCCAGACCGGTCCTGATCACACTCCCGGAAGATGTCCTGAAGGCACAGGCAGAGGTGGGAGGGCCGCCGACAGATCCTCCTGTTTGGTCTGTGTGTGTGTGTACGTGAGTTGTGCACATGGGAATGCATGTGCATGCATGTGGGGGCGGCGTGTGTGGTCAGGGACACCACCCCCCACCCCCACCCAGCGGCAGTTTTATCCCTATTACTCTCCATTCCTTTCAGAAACCCCGTTCTCCCACTACGCCTTAGTCTAAACCCCCCACCTCGTTTCGTGCCCTTTACCGTCCACTTCTTGATATTCCTCCACAGGACCTGGAACTCCGGCAGATCCAGCTTGCCCGAGCCATCCTTCTGCACGGAGGTTAAGGGCCACAGTGGAGGGGCTTCTGAGGCAGGGGGCAGAGAGGCCCTCCCAGATGGGAGCTCCAGACTGGGGCTCCCAGGCCCGTCAAGGCCAGCCGCACAGCTGCGGCTGGCTGGTTACCCCGGAGCCTCGTCTCCACTGAGGAGGTGGGCAGGGCCGTCCTGGGCCAGGCTGGGGGTGGGGAGGCAGGAGGCCCACTGGACTGGAAGATACATCCATGAGGTTGATCATACAGCGGCAGGCGTCCAAGGGGAATATCCTGAGCTTGAGCTCTTGGACTGTAAGGAAGGGAGGAGATTAAGGGGTGTTGGGGGGTGGTGGCGCGAGGAGTGTCCCAAGAATGGGTGCCGTCTGAGGGCAGGGGTTGGGGGACAGGGGTGTGTGTGGGGTGGCTGACTCACGATTGAAGAGGACTCTGTTGAGCAGCTTCTGTAGTTCATACACATCCATCTCTTTGTCCTGGGGGGGGGGTGCAGAACGGAACTGCAGAGCCTGGCTCTTCAGTCCCGCCTCCCTTCAGCCCCCAGCGCCGGAGCTGGCTCACCTGTCCTGACACCACCTCAAACAGATTCAGGAACTCCTGGTTCAAGCTCGCCACAGAGGCCTTGTCCTGCAGGGCCGCCGCAGTGAGGAACGGGCTGCAGGATCCCACCCAGAACCCCCAGTCCTCAACTCCTCCGTAGCCCCTGGGCCCCCAGCCTGCTCACATCTTCAAGTAGCTCGGCACAGTTGATTTCATCCAGTTCACTGCGGGAGAGGTGGGAGGTGGGGTCAGGGACTGCCAGGAGGCAGGGAGGCAGGGCTTTTCCTTGGGAGCAGCCAGGGCATGTCGGATCGTGGAAGCCATAGAGAACAGGCTCCGAGGGAGCCGGGTTCTAACTCAGGCTCCGCTGCTGATTGGGACTTCCCCTTCCAGGGCCTAGCTCTCCTGGGCGGTATCAGAGGGGCAGAGTCGGGGCAGCCCGGAGGGAGGGCTGCTCTCTGAACCTGGGGCAGGCTGGCAGGGCCTCACCAGGACTCGCTGTGCTTCTCCGTGAAGACGCGCAGCAGGAAGTCGGCCTCCTTGTTCTGGTGGTAGGTGGAGGGGATGATGATGTATTCTCCGGGGGACAGCTGCAGCTGGCTGCTCACCTCCCGCGACTGGGAGAAGATTTCTGAGAAGCCATGGTCCTGGTATTTCTGGAAGAACTCCTTCTTCAGGTGGATGTTCTTGATGTTCTGAAACTGTATGTGCCCTGGAGGTGGGTACAGGGTGCCCGGGGTGGAGTGGGGGGCATAGGTCCCTCAAGGTGTCTTCTGGCTGGGCAAGGGCAGGGGGAGGCACCCCCACCAATGGTTTTGGTCTTGGATTGGACACTGCCCAAGGGGCAGGTAACTCCAGCATGGGCTCTTCCATCTGCAACCCCCATCCAGGGCTGCAAGGGGGTTGGAAGCCTCAATCCAGAACTCCCCCCACC